TAAACGTGAAGCCTCCAGTGCACATCCACTGAGAATGGACTTTACGTTGAAGTAGGATAATCTTGTGTCCGTCAGGAAAACTTTAGAAATAAACAACATTAGCATATTCATAGTTTCTGGAATTTGTATTGTAGAAAAAACATCATGTCTTCATACATGTTTAGAGGGGATCTTTAAAATACAGATTTGGAAAAGATTGAAAACATATATGTACTGAAACTAATCAAATGAACAGCTGTAAATCATCACAAATGTAATATCTCTTGGTTTAAGAGTATGTTACTATTTCTGTAACTATTCTGTCTGTTAGGAACTTCCTTTTTGACTCAAAAAAAATATTTTTTCCCTCATTCCTGCCACCACTCAGTGGAAAAAAATTTCCTTTCAAGCTTTAGAACAGTTCTTTTCCTGCGGGGATGTTACTGTCCTGGTGTGACCATAGTTACAGTTGTGATGACAGTTACAGTATGATCCAGTCCACTGTTGCTAAGCCATGTTCATTTGATTTAAAACAAGCTGAGGGAGGGGGGTGGAGAGGGGGGCAGGACGTGGCCGGTGTCCAGGGGATTTCCTTAGCCTGTGATTGATTCCTATCTGCAGAGCTCAGAGACACATTGGCTGATGTGCTTAATGTGAAAACAAGGTGGAAAAATCAGAGACAGAAGGATATTGTTGCTTTCAAATAATGGAGAAACAGAGAGAGAATATTACCTCTGTTCATATTCTCCGCACACTCATAGGAATATTGTTACATTTCTTGGCCCTTTGTACAAACATTAAGCTTTTCATTCACTTTTTCCATGAAGACAAAATGCTTTTTAAGACTGTAACTGTAGACTGAACTTCCACCAATCTTGCACTAGATGGTAGCAATGACATTTGCCCGCACCAGTTCAAGTTACTGGGTCCACATTCCCAATTGCTTGCTTTTATATGTTCCCTTTCTGTAGTTTAAATTGAGAACATCCAAACTGGATGGTGATTCATTTCCCTCAGAGGAAACATTCAAAGTTCACAGTTGGCCTACCCCATGAAAGCCTCAATATGTTGAAGCTACAGTTCTCACAGTTTGATTTGTCAACCACAGGTGTAAGTAATAACAGCTGAATGGAGCAGAGCCATTCTTTTTATTATTAGTTCCACCTGTGCTTTCCTTGATATGACGAGTCGCTATGTCTGCTAGAAATAGTCCATTCCAGTCACTGTTATACTCTTATAAGAGAGATAATCAAGATATTGAAATAAAATAAAAGATCTTATGAATCTGTAATGTGACTTAGCTGTGTTTTGATGATTTCATTCCATTTACATGCTTTGTTTTTCTGTGGAGTGCGTCCATGATGGGATGTCTTCAACACTGATGAACAAAAACAACTTGGCAAAGAAATCAGTTAATGCACTTTCATGTATTTGAAAAAAAGAACCAAAAAAGAAATTCTTCTTTCTTATGAATCTGAAACGTACCGAAATGATGCTGGTTAAATGTCAAGCAAAAAGATTAAAACTGAGAGATAATAGAGTTGGACTGTATTATTAGGAGCTATTGTTCTCCTCTGATATTTCACTATTCTTTATGTTAGAGGTGGTGCAGTTTAGAGGTTTAAATCCTGTAGGAATCTTATCTCCTGTCTTTTCTTTCATTTTTTCTGCAGTCCAACCACAAACACTTCTATGTAACTTATCTGCCTGTGCAGGTGCAGTATGTCTATGAGTTGTCACATTACTGAAATTTGAAACTGTGCCTTCTTGACCAAACCTGACCTTTTGCTGGAGCAGGTACAGGAGCTGGTTTAGGATTGAAATATAGCAAAGAATCACCAGGAGGGGTCAGCAGTGTTTCAAGGTTCAAACGTGCTGAACGTGACATTGCATCTATCCTTGCAGCTCTTTGACATTAATGTACAACATTCACAGTATATCAGCACTTGTGTTTTTAATTGTCTAATATTTCTCAAATCATAACAGCACTCTTTCAAGTTTAAAGTCACATCCCATGTGTTGGGAACATGTTGAGATTTACAGAAAATACAAATCATCAAATACAGCAGAATTAGGAGACAGAGGCCTACATGGTAATTTATAATAACTGGAAAAAAGCCAATAGTGTAGATAGGGCTAGAGTGGCTTCTCATTGCTATCACATTATTATTATTATTATTATTATTAGTATAGATTTTGAAGGAGCTGGATCCACTGACCTGGATGCAAAACACACTGTACACTAAGTGCAAAGGAATGTATACATTTAGTGTTGGACGTGTTCCAAGCTCACCTCTGTGCAGTTTGCACCTTCACACTAAATATTCTTTTAACATCAACATGACATCTATTTTAAACTTTTGGGGAGGGGCTTTCAGCACTGAACATTTGGGTGTTTGAATTCTACATTTATTTCAGCCACTATTGTTAAAAATCTGCTGCCTCAAACAAGTTTATTTTATGTTGATAGTGTTTAACACATCCGCATGGAGTTACAGAGGAAAGCATAAGACAGATGGACAGATGATGAAGTCCGGGTGTCATCATTGCTGTAATAGTCACATGCAGAAATGACACAAAAAAGTAAAAACAGCTGTTTAGTTTTCATACTTGTTCAAAATTAATTCAAGAGAATGTTTTTTTATATTAATAATTTATATTTTTAATAAACCATGTAGCCTAACAAATGTATTTTTTAATGCTGAGAAACGTCTTAATTTTAAGTGTAGTCACTAACCCTATATTACTCTCTCTGACGCACCGACATGTTAAATTGCCAGTCTATTTCCCTGCACTGCACTCTGCAGATAATGGCAGAATGCTATCTGTACAGATAACTGCGCTGCTCCTTTGGTGTAAATTGTGAAGTGCTGTTTGCCTTGTACCGAGTCCGTCAGATACAGTACGTTCCTGCTCTAATGTCACTGAGACACATTCCTGTACATCTGTCACATGACAGCATTTACTGTACCATTAAGCAGATTTCTGACCCTTCATCTGGTTTCAGGTAAGACTGGCTTTACAAATAAATCACATTTTGCCATTTGTGCCTCAGGAGAAACACACAGTTTCATGTATGCAATCCATGATTATATATATATATAAAGCATTTGTAAGTGCAGAAAAATACAGAAATCTAATTTCTCTGGTGTCTGCCAAGTCACATGCTATGTCTGGCCCCTTGTATGCAGACTATTTCATTTGACCCTTGTGGGTATTCAAAACAGTGATTTTTACACTGGTGGACATGCAGTCATTTTAATATGAGCTATGAAGACTCACATTATTCTTTCAGTATTTATGAAACTGCTGATAAATATTCCTGTCTCAACACAATCTTTCAGGTGCAGCATCTCAACACACACTGAAAGGGAAGATACATTAATTACATTATTTGATCCTTGTTGGACCAGATTCAAGTCCTAAATGTTCCTTATGCTCCCCATGTCTCCCCTTAGTGATTACAAGGTCAACCACTAAAGTTGCTCTAATATTTCTGCCCTCTAAGATCACAAACTCATGCAGGACCCACACAATGTGAATGACATGTTAAATATTCAATTATGTGTGCATACTTTAGATATAATAGAGATAATAATGGTTTTAGCTGTTTTTAAGGCTCACCCAGTTCTACACACACCATGGTCATGTGGTTAATAGCTAATATGGCGTGCAGTCATTGAAATTCCACGCATGCCTCACATATTACTACATTCATCCCCTAAGGTCTCATCTTTTATGGAGTTGGTCTTTATTGAGTGGATGAATGGGCTTCATGTTGCACAAAATGCACTTCACACCTGTTTTCCTGAATTTTCAACATCTGGGTGCACAAAGGAGCTGCAGCAGTGTGCAACTCTGCACTTTGTGCCTCCCAGCTCCACCTGGGCGGTTCAGAAGAGCCTTGCACAAGGGCACCTTGGTGAGATGTGAAGCGTTTTATTTCTCCACTTTTTTCCACTCGTTTATTAGCTCAGACGACCGTCCACCCCTCTCCTCTCCTCTCTTCTCCTCTCCTCTCCCCAGCCCTGCTGCTCCTAAACACCTCCCTAGTCTGGGTTGCGTCGCACTCCCCAGTCTGTCACACCAGGCTCCGAGAAATCTGACGTGTTTTTCGCATTTCCTGCACCAGAGAGAGACGGAGACAGAGAGCAGTGTCGGGGGGAGGCAGCCAGAGGTATGTGCACGGGAAGTTAAGATCAACAGCAGTGGCCGAAAGCAGGCCGTGCACCGAGCAGCTGGAACCCCTACATACTACCTTCCCCACCGCCTCAATCTGCTCTCCC